TAAAAAAAAAAAAATAATGTTATTTGAATTCAAAATGCTACTTTCTCCCAAAAAAAAAAAAAAAACAAAAAGAGAGAACAAGTGGACTATTTAAGCCTACTTTTCAACGGAGAGGTACATACAGGCAGAAGGCCAGGCGGGGACATAAGCCTGCTATTGGTCACCTAGACATGCATGGCAATGGATAAAAGAGTGATCCATTTACAAATCCCATCCTACGCTGAACATGTTGGGGGCATGATATCATTATTACTCAACTAACTAGGCTAGCTATTGGTCCTTTTCACCAAAAAAAAACAATGGTGCTGCTCAAAACTCTTGATAAGTACGTTAATCTAAAAGGGAGGTGGTGGTTGACAATAGATTAGCAGGTAAATTACATTGATATTCCTGAATTTTGATAANAATTTCTTAGCAATTACGACCCTCCTTGTTTGACTGATTTTTACTGCCTGTCATGTCATCACTTTTGGCAGGCATATCCTCTATCTGTGTGAATCTGTAATTTTATGCTGTTTTTTTTTTTAAAAGTTTTACCATGAAGGCGACGATGTAGCAGACACTTGAGATTTTTTATGCCAAAGATTAAAGCTGTTATACCTTTTTAATATCTCCGTTGATCGTAGGCCCATGCAGAAAAGATCAGAAGTCAAGGGGGTTTGCTCACCGCCCCTACTGATTAAATTAGCTTACTGTGTGTGTCCTCTTTGTTCTTCGGAGAATTCCCCAACAGCCAACAGTCGTCGTTTTGGACTTAGCTTTGGTTGCACCAGCTCCATGCATCTTCATTTCTTTTGCAGGTCCACTTGTCTTTTTTATATTTGGGTACCCTGTGCAACTCATATTTTTTTTTTTATTGTGGTTAAAAAATTAAACTATAAATGGTAGAATCTAAACAATCTTAGCCGTTCTTATGTTTTATGTAAGCATAACTATGTATTTTATTGTATAGATATAACTTGGTTGATCACTAAGAAATCAATTATAATGTATTTAATTTATTGCAAACTAGAAACCACCATAGAAGGGTGAAAAGAAACTCAAAAGGGGAGACAATAAAAACCAAGAATAAGAAATCAAGCTTTTTTTTAAAAAGGGGATAAATCAAAACATTTAATAAGTATTAGCTAACGGTTAACTCTTTAATTCATAAAATCTTGATAGAATTGTGGATATCAGTTGTCAATTAAAACATGAGGGAGAGATTCCTTGTGAATATCTTAATTCTCGCATATTTTTGATTGGACAAAAAAGATGATTAATCGAAGTGTATGTAAACTGGTCCGAACACCCATGACCGCTAACTAAAAAAAAAAAACATCAGCGAGGACATGCCATCCTTTATCCAACTTCTCTTTTTCTTCATGCTGTGCTCCTCTTGAGGTGTGATGTGCTAGATCACTTGTTTATGCATTGTCTTCATCACCAGTTGTATGTCCTGTTGGAGAAATTAACATAATTTTACTTAATCAAAATAATATTTAGATTACAAACTAACAAGAATATGTAAATAAATATAAAATATCAATCAATTTAGAATAGAATAAAATAGAAACTATAAATTAGAAAAAGCTGGTCTGCGAGTCCGAGAGTCATGTGAATACTGTCCTAAAGCAACTGAACCTCCCCGCGTGAGGGTACTGACGGACACCAGCGACTCCAAGATCAAACCCAGACGCTCGCAGCAGCACCTCCTCAATGGTTAATGACTCTTGAATAATAGGTTTTAAAATATATTAGTATGTAACTTTCAAGCTATTAACCCTATATCAATTTTATAATTAAATGGCATGAATATGCAAGAATTAAATTTCAATAGTAAAATTAAAAACTGAAAAATTAATACAAAATAATTAGTTATGTAGTTTTTAAAATTTTTATTTTAATTTATTCTAACATGTCCCTGCACTGGACATGGACACCCCAAAAGGAGATGTGATGTGGCATATCATGACCTCCCCCATGTTAATAATTATGAAGTAAAATGTTGATTGTAATTTTGTTTTTTGTTTTTTTAATTTATTATGCCACACTATCTTCTACAAAAATTACATAAAATAGTTAACAGTGATATAATTGAAAAGGATAAATAATAATATTTAGACTTAATTTACAGATTTAATGTAATTTTATAACAATAGATTGGAATCCAAGGAGAAAAATCCATGGCTTCTTTCAAGCGCATGGTGGCAATGGTCACTACGTCAGGGAAGTGCGGGAGTCCATCAGTGTACCCACACGGCCGGGTACAAAAAAAAGGAGGGACCTTGCGCATTAACTAATCCAAATGCAACCTAGAGATTTCCTATCCTACCACATATATCTCTTCTTCTTTTTTAATCATTGGGGGGGGGGGGGGCTGTCTCTTATACCCATTTAGATG